CGCTAAATGTATTTTAAAGATGCATTTAAGATATTCACTCATTGAACAAAAACTTAACACCTTCTCTTTGCCAGGCTCCATTCTAGGTGCCAATGACAGAGTACTGATGAGAACAGACAAAACTCCCTGTGCTCATAGAGCTTAACTTCTTGTTGAGGGGGATAGACAAAGAAATAAACAAATATATAGGCTGTTAGGTAGTGATACAGTCTGTGAAGAATATATGACAGCAGAAGGGATAGTGAATGCTAGGCTAGAGGAGCGATGCTTTCTAGATATGAGGATCAGAAAGACCCATGGATAAGAGGACACCTGAATAGAAACATGGACAAGTTGAGAGAGCAAACCATGAAGGTATCTGGGGGAAGAGCATTCCGACAGACGGGACACTAAGTGCAAGGGTCCTGGGGTAGAGCCTGCGTGTCCTGTTTGTAAAATAATAGTGAAGCCAATGTGGCCGGAATGATGGGAAGATAAAGTGGTAGAAGATGATGTCAGAGGGATGATGACAGGGGAAAGCTGTCCGGGCAGTTTGCCTTTAACTCTGAATGAAATGGGAAATGTGACGTGGTCTGACTTACATATATTATAAAACGATCATTCTGGCTGCGGTTTTGAAAAAGGAATTACCAACTCTTCCAAAAAAGACTAGGTTTGATAGAAGACACCCAGGGGCCACATTCCTTGACTGAATATATCTAATGTAATAGAAGCCTACACACAATGGAACTGAGATTCTCTCTTCTGCTCCCCAAAGCTAAGGCTAGTGAATAAAACAGTGCCAGAAACTCAGAAAAAAATGCCACTAACCGGTGGAACAGGACTGAGAAAAACCTCATGAAACAGACCGTTTCCTACTCCTGTGTCATCTGGGCAGTGGATCTTGTATTGGCCGATACTACCTGAGAGAGCGAGAGCACGTCTTCACCCACTGCCGCACTCATCACTGCTAGCCAAGACACTGACCCTTGAAGTCACGGAGGAGGAGGAACAGTAGGCGACGGCATCCGGGAGCCGCAGTGCCCACAGGTGAAGTTATAGATGGTACGTGAGGACAGAGGAAGCCTAGCAGCACACTAAGGATTGTGACACTTGTGTGTTAATTACATCTATCCACAGGACACACAGACTCAGTGGTGGATGGTGGGAAGCATCTGGCACTGTCGACAGCATGAGGGGAAAGCCTCCTGGAATGTGGACCTGAGCTGGGAGGGCCCACCGGCATGTCAGCGACAGAAAGTTTAGCCATGACCCCTGTGACAGGGAGCAGTCTTGATGAAATGCGCCTAAAAGCACATAGTCCATGAAGATGCAGCCCCATTTAGGAGTAAGGAAAGAGAAAATTATTAATCTGATGTCTATGCCAAAATGTTGAAGGGAGTGTCTAATAAGAAATATTATAGCATTTTGTGGATTCAGTTACGACTTGCATGTCCTTGGAAATTGTAGACATCCTTGAGCTTCCAGCAATACACACAACACAATCATCACGGCACAGACACAATCAAGAAGGTCAGCTCATCGCAGTATTCTTTACAAATATTATCATAAAACGGAACCAAATATCAAATCTGATCCTCTTTTCATTAATTTAGAGTATCCCGATATTAAAAACTACTAAAGGGCCACGTTAGAGATTTCTGGAAGTACTAGGTTATCAGTATGTTAAGTGATGACAACACTATTTTGCGAATGAATCAAAATTGTGTGTTAAGTGTCCACCTGACTTTGACAAGAAGCTTTACAATTCCAATTTGCTGCCTTGCTAATTATGATGCAGCCGGACTCAGTCAATTGCTCAGTAAGTTAGAGGCCTGGATGTATAAACAGCTCAGGAGTTTGGTACTTCAAAAGTTTCTATCACCAGGAATTATGAAGATGTCAATTTTCAGTAATACATACTTTTAATAGTAAGCACAAGTAAAGTCAGGGTTCTGTTTTTTTAACTTGTGATGATGTTTAAGAAAAAGACTTTGTTTGGGGCACCTGGGTAGCTCAGTCGGTTAAGCATCCAACTTCAGCTTAGGTCACGATCTCATGGTTCATGGGTTTGAGCCCCGCGTCAGGCTCTGTACTGACAACTCAGAGCCTGGAGTCTGTCTTTGGACTCTGTGTCTCCCTCTCTCTCTCTGACCCTCCCCTGCTCACGCTGTCTATCTCTCTCTCTCAAAAATAAATAAAAAGCATTAAAAAAATTTTTTTAATTAAAAAAAAAAAGATTTTGTTCTTTGAACTTTAGAGCCCTTGCAAATATCTCATTCATGAATGAAAACCAACTAATTTGGGGCAAGAAATTATTCTCCAGAGGTTGTTTTCATGGACTATCTTTTAGTTTCAGGTGCACAGATTAAAGAATTAAAATTTTAGAGGAGCACACAGGCAGCAACCTCTTTGACATGAGCCGTAGCAACCTCTTACTAGTTATGTCTCCTGAGGTAAGGGAAACCAAAGCAAAAATAAACTACGGGATTTCATCAGAATGAAAAGCTTTTGCACAATGAAGGAAATAATCATCAAAACTAAAACGCAACCTACTGAGTGGGAAGAATATATTTACACATGACATACCTGATAAAGGCTTGGTATCCAAAAAATATAAAAAACTTATAAAACTGGGGTGCCTAGGTGGCTCAGTCAGTTGAGCGTCAGACTCTTGATTTCAGCTCAAGTCATGATCTTGCAGTTTATGGGTTTGAACCCTGCATCGGGCTCTGCGCTGGTGGTGCAAAGCCTGCTTGGGATTCTCTCTCTTTCACTCTCTGCACCCTCTGCAACACCCTCACTTGCTCTCTCTCGCTCTCTCTCAAAATAAATAAATAAATAAACTCAAAAAACTTATAAAACTTAATATTCCCAAAGCAAACAATCCAATTAAAAAATGGGTGAAAGAGGGGCGCCTGGGTGGCTTAGTCGGTTAAGCATCCGACTTTCGCTTAGGTCATGATCTCGCGGTTCGTGGGTTCGAGCCCCGCGTCCGGCTCTGTGCTGACTGTCAGCTCAGAGCCTGGAGCCTGTTTCAGAGTCTGTATCTCCCTCTCTCTCTGACCCTCCCCTGCTCACGTTGTCTCTCTCTCTCTCTCCTAGAAATAAATAAAAAAAAATATTTAAAAAAAAAAAATGGGTGGAAGACCTAACAGATATTTTTCTAAAGAAAACATCCAGATGGCCAACAGACACATGAAAAGATGCTCAACATCACTGATCATCAGGGAAATGTAAATCAAAACCACAGTGAAATATCACCTCACACCTGTCAGAATGGCTAAAATCAACACAGGAAATAACAGGTATTGGCGAGTATGCGGAGAAAGGGGAACCCTCTTACACCATTGGTGGGAATGGAAACAGATTACCTACCTTTTCAAAGTAATAATTATAGAGATATATAAAGGAATGCTAAGAGGAATTAATTCACTAATTAATAATTTAAAAGAAATAATGACAGAGATAACATGCATCAATGTTAGTTTAACGCAATCACACAATCATCTAAAACCGTAAAAACAGATACCTCAAAGGACAAATGTTATTCATAGCTTATTAGTGAGAAGAAAATAGAACCATTCTGAGTCCTTCTCTGTAAATTATCTCATCTTCAAGCACGCTCTTCTAGAATACTTTTTAATAAGCAGCCTTTTCTACTTCTCATGTGTATTTAACATGAAAAATTCAGACAGATGTAAAAACAAAAGGGAGAATGGAAATACATGTATCTGAAGGATTCATAAGCAGGGACAGAGGAGGCCCTCTGATCAATTGCCTGGTACCCTGCAGAAGGTGAGTAAATCATAGGTCTTGATTTTTCTTCTAGGAAGTAATGGTTATCACTTAATCTTTGGTGTTTAAGTTCGAATGGAAGTTTCCAAAAAAAAAAGGAGATTGCTGATCACAGCTTCATACAAATGTGTGTATCAAAGGACTGAGGTAATTGGGTTCTCAGAGAGTTCCCGATAGGCTGTGCTAATTAGCATATAAGCACCTCCTACATTGTTGCAGTTACCAAGGACAATGTGATTCCTACAGCTGTGTTTGTTACCTTATTGCCTGACAGCAAACTGTATTTGCTTTTTTACCGACTCAGTAAAAATACATGATTGATCACCCATAATCAATCTGTTACAAATCTGGCTGTGGGAAAATGAAGGATTAACAAATTATTATAGAAACCTGACTGGCTGATCAGGTTTATTCTCTGGGGCAGACACTCCATCCCTGTTCTCCTGTTTTTCCTCAAGGACAGAACCGCATTTGATGGGCTCAGTCTACTCTGCCCTTTTGAAACCTGAGTGACTAGGGGAAAAGCTGACCCCACCCCAGGTCATGGGATGAGATAATAGTAATCAAAATGAAATAATAGAAACCAAACAAAGCACTACTATCCCTTGGCCAGAGATGGGTCACATTGCCCTAGGCTAAGTCAATCAAGACTTGATGGGTTCTGCACCTACACTGGCCTGATGGGTCAGAGGGACTTTTTTTCGGTGGTGATGGGGGAGCTCCTCTCTCTGTGTCTTTCCCTGATTCTCTGTCTGTCCTTCTTCGTGCAAGGGAAGGACAGGAGAGCGTGCGGTCTCCGAGGCGGCAAGTGCTCCTCTCAGGAAGGAAGCCAGTCGGAGGATAAAGCTAACATATGGGAGAGACCTTGACCTTGACCTCCCCTGCCTGAGCCCTCCCTATACTTCTTTATGGTGAAAAGTACTGAGGGCCCTGTAATAGACCTGCTCGTGGGGACTCACACACCCCAAACCCCACTGCCACTCTGGCTGCAGAGGTGAGAGCAACTGGAGGCGTGGTGACAGGGTGACCCCCCTCCACCCCCAGGTCCCAACTGCCCCAGCCTTGTCTCTGATCTCGCAGGCCCTGCTTCTCCTGCCTGAGCTGGGGTGAGTAGATTTTCTGGTTCCCTCCACCAAAGGCAGCCATCATTAGCCTTGACAGGTCCATTTCCTTCAGGAGCCAACACATCCAGGCTGGAAATCGATCCAAGCGACAAGGCCTACCTTGGGCATGCAGATCACCAGATGCCCTGTGGTCTGAGATCGCTTAGCCGAGCTGCTGTCAGGCCTGACTTCGGCAGGAAGGACAAGCTGAAATGGCTGAAAACAAACAGGAAGTGTCGTGGAGTGTGAGCGCATGCCCAGAGAGGGTTATGTCAAGAGGCATTTTCATTATAAATTCAAGAGTCACCGTTCTATTCTATTTTTTTCTTCCTAAATTAAATTAAAAATTTTTTTAACTATTCCATTTCAAAAAACGTGCTGAGGCTTAGTAAAACAAAAAATCAAGTCTGGGCTACACTTGAAATGCATAAACTGATTTACCTGTTTTAATGAACGGTCTAAAGAACAGTCATCGATCATAAATAGCAAGATAGTCGTTGGTCCTTTTATGTTAACTAGACTCCTAATAAAGGATTTATCAATAAAACTTCTTGTCATAAACCATCAACATATTTCCATTTTAAAGCCTTCATATGATTCCTATGAATGCTTGTAATCAGCAAAAAATACTATTTCAAAAATCATAAAATTACAATCGCTATGAATGAAATCATTGACAATTTAAAGTGGGTATATAATTTAAATATGATTTCAAGCATAGGCTACCACATATCTAACCATCTAATCCGCTTTGAAACAGTACTAACACAACAGACAGAAGTTAAAAATACTAATTTTATCGACCTACACTGTGGTTGGTCAACAACCATTCCCACTGTATAAAATCATATGTCTAGGGGCGCCTGGGGGGCTCAGTCGGTTAAGCATCAGACTTCCACTCAGGTCATGATCTCACCATTGGTAAGTTCCAGCCCCACATAGGGTTCTTTGCTGATGGCTTGGAGCCTGGATCCTGCTTCAGATTCTGTGTCTCTCTCTCTCTCTGCCCCTCCCCTGCTCACACTTGGTCTCTCTCTCAAAAATAAACATTAAGAAAAATTATTTAAAAAATTTTTAATCATGTGTCTAAAAAATAGCTCTCTGGTTGGGCATCTTGCTTCCTGTTTTCATATTACTCTTAACAATTTCTGAGGCAACCTCGCTGAGTTTGAGGCTCAGCTTTTGAGACTAAGTCTACCATGTTTACTTACCTTCCCTTTGACCATGACCCGCACATATGTTGGCTGCACATCCACATCAATTAAAGAGGTGTCCATATACCTTTGAAATCAAACACATCCAATCTTAGAATTTTCACAAACATTAAGCTCAAACAAGTGCAAGTAAAAACTAACATTTAAAGAACTGTGTGAAATGAAAGAGAGGTTTACAATTTCCTTGCTGAACAGGTCTTGAGAAGTTTGTCTTCCATTAATCCCTAAACCAAAGGAAATTCAATATATCAGCAATTTCATTTTTAGAGCCACAAGTACACTTGGCATTGATTGCCCCTCGCCTAAAAATATCTGAGGCCTCAAACACCAGAGGTTTGCAAAAAAACCCAGCTTGCCATGTTCTTTCATGAATATTTTATTTTAAGCCCCTAAGACTGACATGAAAGGCAGGAAGGCTGAGTCTAGTACGTGTGGGGCCTGCTGCCCCGGCTCCCACTGCCTCAGTCCCTCTCTGTCCCCACAGCTGTTCGACAGCTGCTACAGTGCCATGTCCCCAGCTTTGCTTCTCTCTGGAAGGTACCTCTTGCTGATTAAGCAAAGCCTTCCATCTACGGCAGGGACCCCAGGGATCGGCCTGTATTTGTTCTCCTTGGCGTTATGAACAAATCAAAGATTTAGGCTTCATCTCACTTATTTAGACAAAGAATCATCTGTATAATTGTACATTTAACAATATTGATTGTGTTGGGGCGCCTGGGTGGCTCAGTCAGTTGGGCGGCTGACTTCAGCTCAGGTCAGGAGCTCATGGTTTGTGAGTTCAAGCCCCATACCGGGTGTGCTGCGGTAAGCGCAGATCCTCTGTCTCCCTCCCTCTCTGCCCCTCCACTGCTCACTCTCTCTCTCTCTCTCTCTCTCTCTCAAAGATAAGTAATAAGTTAAAAAAATATTGGGTGTGAACATTAGCAAACGCAGTCAGACCTCCGTCACACAGATGGTGATGAACTGACTCCACCCCCTCTTGCTCTGTGACCTTGGACCACATTCCTTAACGGCTCTCAGCCTGTTTCCTCATCTGTAAAATAAGGATGTGAACCGCACATCCCCTAAGATTGCTGTGAAGACACACGCACGGTGCCTAGCCCAGAGTTGGCGTTCACAATGCATCACTGCCTTTTACTTAATAAAAATTCTTGTAGTAATAAAAAGGAAGACAAGGTCTCCCAAAATCTCATCGAATGGCTACCGCACTAACATCACATCTTCCTGTTCACACGTGGGGCCTCCTAAAGTCTTCATTTGACCCTACCTACGAGGTCTTCTCATGTTCTGTTCATTTCTGCCTAAAACTGTCTTCTGCTGGTTCTCTGCAGTCACCGCTTCTCATCCTGCATCCATCGGCGCTCAGGTCAGCACCTTCCCTGGGCGTCCCCTACACCACGGACCACCGGACTGCATGTGCCACTGGGTGCACCCCGAACTCTGGCTCTTCCCATGCACTACCTTTCCCCCCTTGCAATTACTTATCAGATGCCTGCCTTCTGTCTCCCCCATTGGGTCGTAAGCTCTAGGACAGCAGAGACTGTATTTAGAATGTGCCAGTTACGGCCTCCAGTGCCTGGTACATAGTAGGTATTCTATAGATATTTGCCGGCTAAAGACAGAAAGAATATAGGAAGGAAGGAAGGAAGGAAGGAAGGAAGGAACTTTCATAGATACATCCATGTGCCACTAAAGATTAAAAGGAGTGTTAGTGTCATTCGTTCAGACAGAATCATGGGAAGGGAAGGATTTTGCTCCCCAGACGGGAGAAATAGCACCACTCCTTGGAAAAGTGCATGATCAGGACCTGAGGAAAGTCTTCCTTCAAGGATTGAACATGAAGAAGCCAAGAGAGCTAAAAGGGAAAGGGGTGCACATTCATTACACTCCAGGAATATGGCCAAAAATGGGACAGAACTAAGGGGGTGAAACCGAGCGTTTAATGAAACACAGCAGAAAGGGAGCTTGGGTTGCAGCAGGGACAGAGGACACGAAATCACCTGGACAAGAGCTGGACGCACTTTAAAGGAAGGTGGGCTGGTGGCACGTGGGCGGGAGAATAAAGAGGAGGCGTAATGGGGCATCTTGTCATGAGGAGGAAGGAACACACAAAGGACTAGCCCTTCCTCACGAGAGCCGAAGGTGGAAACAGCCCACATGGCATCAACCCGCGAACGGATGAACAGAAATGCGGTGCATGCGTGCATCAGAATATTACTCGGCCACAAAGAGGAAGGGAATTCTAATACCCGCTGCAACACAGATGAGCCCCGAAGACGTGATGCTATGTGAAAGGACACGAGACCACAAGTGATCTTGTTTATACGAAGGATCGAGAATTGGCAAATCTATAGAGACGGACGGCAGACTCGCGGTGGCCAGGACGCGGGGAAATGAGGAATGACTACGTAATGGCTACGGGCTTCTGTTCTGCGGGGACGAGGGTGTCCTGGAGCTCAGTGGTGGCAAGGCTGCAAAGCATCGTGGCGTTACCACGGGCCACTGCACCGGACACTCGAAATGGCTGAAATGGCGACTTTTAAGTTATGTGTTCTTTACCACAATTAAACAAAGCGGAACGTCGGCCTGTGAGTACATGTTCCGGCCCCTCTGGTTACTGTAGTTACTGTGACAAGACTCAATCTCTGGAAATTAACTCCCTTTTGGAGAAATCTGAGGATAACAATCCCTCTTCCTTCACTGGGTTACTGGAAGATCAGATAAGATAGAGCACAAAAGACAGGCCTTAAAAAGGAAAGGACTTTATTCTAATTCATGTATGTGAATGTTCACTGGCTCCCATTACCAGTGTCCATTCATTCATTCATTCACTCAGGCATTCATTCATTCCTGCACTCGCACGTGCTAGGCACTGCTATAGGTGCTGCAGACATAAGGAGGCCCGAACAAACTTCCTGTCTTGACCACACATTTTTGAAAATGCAAGTAAATGTATAGTTTGTCAGGGAGAAAGCAGAGAGAGGAGGGAGGAAGTGCCGGGGCAGGGGTAGGCACTGCAGATGGTGGGGCAGAGAGGCCTCTATATAAAGTGACATCTGACCGGAGGCTCACAGGAAGTAAGGCAGCCGGCCATGTGGACATCCAGGGTGATGTGGTGTGGGCAGAGGGAAGCACGGTGCGAAGTCCTGAGTCACCAGTGCATCTGAAAGGGTTGGAGAAGCGGAAAGACCCTGTACGTGGACCCTGAAGTCAGAGGCCTGAAGAACAGTCAGCCGAAACCTAAAATTCTAAAGAAATGAGGCTGGGACGCAGCCAGGGGAAAAAGTGTCTGCTGGAGATAAAGAAGCTGCAGGGTGCACCACTAGGTCTCTAAGATGGGACTGGAAAGTGGGGGCCATCACCCACTGCCTGGTGCCTACTATCACATTAGAGTTCTTGGAAAAAACAAGGAGGAATATAAACGTGCAGTGGCAGTAGTGAAAGCCAAGGGGCCAGTGGTAATAGTGTTAGAAAACAGCAAAGCTCGGGGTGCGTGGGTGGCTCAGTCAGTTGAGCATCCGACTTCAGCTCAGGTCATGATCTCTTAGTCTGTGAGTTCGAGCCCCATGTCAGGCTCTGGGCTGACAGCTCAGAGCCTGGAGCCTGATTCAGATTCTGTGTCTCCTCTCTTTGCCCTTCCTCTGCTCATGCTCTGTCTCCTTGTCTCTCAAAAATAAATAAATATTAAAAAAGAAAAGAAAAGAAAAGAAAACAGCAAAGCTCTGACAATTATGTGAACTCTGCCTTAGGGGCACCAGGGTGGCTCAGTCGGTTGAGGTTTTGATTCTTGGTTTCAGTTCAAATTGTGATCCCAAAGTCATGGGCTGGGCATAGGGCCTGCCTGGGATTCTCTCTCCTCTGTCTTCCCCCTGCTGCCCACCAGCTCATGCGCTCTCTCACAAACAAAATTTAAAAAATTAAAAGTAAATGACTAAACTCTGCCTTAGAAACAGATAGTCCAAAGTTCATAGCCCTAGGATTTTGGGTTTATTTACTTCTGCCTTTATTTTCATTTTCATGCTTTTTAAAATTACAATAAGTTCTCAGTCTTAAAAAAAAAAAAAAAAAGCAAAACTTCTTCATTTGGCAAACCAAATTCCATTACAAAATACTTCAGGACTAAAGAGATGGCACTGAGAATGAAACCAGAGAAGTCATTAAGTAAACCCATAATAAAATGTCTTTACCTATAGACAGCAAGGTCCAGGATGATCTCGTTATGTTTTTCATCATCTTTCAAGGAGAAGTCAAGTCTAAGGAACAATCCATTTGGGGGAAGAAAAAAAAAAGACATCTTTAGCAATACTGTATAGGTAACCCATCCCCTTATCAAAAGTAAACTTGATAATAATTATATACTAATCTCTGATGACAAACATATTTTGGTAGGTGGACAACAAAATGTCCATGTTATTTAAAAATCTCAACAGAAACCTATAATATATGCATAAATTATTTGTTTACATTGTTGAAATGTGAGAATCCTAAGGTAAATTACATACAAAAAAAGTGGCATTGGTGCAGAGATAGAGACATCTGGTGGTTAAAGCTTTCTTTTCTATTTCATTCAAGTTTGTCAGAAGCAAAACTAAAATGTCGGGATTGTTTATGGGGAAGAAAATGTTGTATCGGCCTCCCTTATCCAGCATTCTATACCTTCAGTTTTAAATAGTCCTGTCTTCCTTCTTTCTCCTGGCCATCTTTTTTTTTTTTTCCTTCTTTCATTGTTGACCTTTGCATCACCCTGGAAAATGCTGAGACACTGCCCATGATCTATCACCTCCATATAGATGAAGAAACAGAGAGGTTCAGAGAGGTTGACGCAGCTGGGAAAGAGGCCACATGTGCCTGGAGAGGCAGGATTTCAAAGTCCTACGTCTTTCAACTACACCGTATGACTGGATCTTAGGTATAAATTCCATAGTGTCAACATACCATTCAGAATTATTTGGCTGATTTATTTTGAGCATTTCACCTGACATACCGTTCTGTAAAATATATAATAAAACAATATTAAAGGATGTATGCTAAATTGTTTGGAACGATTTGGCCATCCCCAAAATGTCTGTGTGTGGCATATTAAAATGTCCCTCTCAGTGCTTTCAACGACCCAGCCATGTGGGACTCCTTCGGTTGCTCAAATGACTCATGCATTTGTGATCTCATTTTAGGAGCTTTCTTATGTGCTGGCCCTTCTGCCTTGATTGCCTACTGTCCAACTGTCCAGCCAGCCAACTTGAACTCTCTCTTCATAGATCACTTGAAAGGCAATTTCAGAGAGGTTTTCTACAGTAGAGATTGCTCTTCATTCCCACCACGGTCCACTTCCCCTTTACCCACAGTAATAGGACCCCTGATTTTAACTAGGAACATAGCCGGGCAGAATAAAGATGACACCTTCCTCCCTCCCCTGCAGCTGGGTGTAGTCACGTGGTTGTTTCCTGAAGGAGAGCACTGTTTGGCACTCTCCAGGATTTCCCCAAAGAGAGGGCATGTGTGCCTTTTTCTTCCGTCTTTTTCTTCCCCCAGCTGAACAGAATAGACTATAAGAGACCGAGTTATGAACGACGAAGACTACTTAGCAAGCTACGGCAACTCTCCCGGCAAGAGGTAGATACCATGTTCCAAGGTGGTAGGGATAGAGTTAGTGAGAAGCAGTTGGATGGAAGGAAGAGATTCTAAGGTCACTTATGAAATGACAGAGAGAAGAATCAAGGATGAATCCAAGGTGGATGCTCGCTACTGACTTGGAGACCACCGGGGGACAAGCATGTTATGATGGAAAGTGCTAGTGGGGATAGAAATTAGGACTTCTGTCCCTGTCGTGGTAAGTTTCTAATACCTATTTTGTAATCACATGGTGAGGACAGCTATCTCATTAAACATCCAAGTCTTCAGTTCAGGGAAGAGGGTGGGTCTGGTTGTAATGTAAAGATGGTGTTTAAAACCATGGAATTTGGTGGGAGCCTCACAGGGTCAATGGGAAATGAGAAGGAAGCTGAGGAGTTGACCCCGGAACACTAGGTACATCACAAAGAGAATCTGGCAAAGCCTATGAAGAGGAGGAGGTAGTAAGTTCAAAGAATATGAAGGAAGATTTTGGGAAGGGAAGAAATTGCTATCAGAAGGAAGATAATGATCAATTTGGTCAAATTTGCTGGGTCATGTACATAGGGCTTGAGATTTTAAATGATGTGACTGAACATAGGGATAATGTGACCACGCAACACAGAGATTATGTGACCACAGAACAACACAGAGATGATGGATGTGACCATGTAACAGAGATGATGTGAACACAGAACATGGAGATGACATGAACACAGAACATGAAGATGATATGAATGCAGAACACAGAGATGATGTCACCACGGAACAGGGAAATGATGTAACCATGGAACACAGAGATGATGTGGCCATGGAATACAGAGATGATGGATGTGACTACGTAACACGGAGATTATGTGAATACAGAGCACGGAGATGACATGAACATAGAACATGAAGATGATATGAACACAGAACATGGAGGTTATGTGAACACGGAACAGGGAGATGATGTGACCATGGAACACGGAGATGATGTAAACATATAGAAATGATGTTAACTACAAAAGTTTTATGTGACAGGCTATGCAGATATGGTTTCAAGAAGGAAAGTGAAGGGAAGAACTGGTGGCTGAGTCTAGGCAGCCCCATGGAACAGCAACTATAAGGAGGGGCAGAGAAATTGGGCTGATGCTGCAAGGGAGACTAGAGAAAGGGAGCTCTCTTATTTTTTTTTTTTTTTGCTTGGTTTTTAAGATGAACAATATAGGGGCACCTGGGTGGCTCAGTCAGTTGAGCATCTGACTCTTGGTTTCAGCTCAGGTCATGATCTCAGGGTTCGTGGGTTTGAGCCCCAAGTCACGCTGAGCACTGCTGGTGTGGAGCCTGCTTGGAATTCTCTTTTTCTCTCTCTCTTTCTCTCTCTCTCTCTCTCTGCCCTCCCCTGCTCATGCTCTCTTAAAAAAAAAAAAAAAGATGTATGCTATCACAACATCTGTATACTGATGAGATCAATCTGGTAGACGGGGGAGAAGTGATCTTGAAGAGAAGAGATCACTGCAGAAGCAAGTCCTCCACAAGAAGAGGGCTGGGACCAGTCTGTGAGCAGAGAGAGTGACTCTGGAGGGGAAGTTCACCCACTGCAGCAGGAGACAAGAGAGGATGTGGCCCGGGTCCAGGGACACTGGTAAACTGGATGGGAAAACTTCAGGCTGCTTCTGTTTTCTCTATGGAGTAAGAGACAAGGTCCCCGATAGGACCACAGAACAGACGTAGGAAGGGAGCAAGCGGCGTGAAAGCAGCCTACGGGAGACGGGAGGAGTGGGCACCCGAGAAAGCACAGCATGACAGCCGGAAGTCCACTGGAGATCCATGGTGGGAAGTTCACACTGAGCCCAGTAGAGCTGAATGTTTTCCTCCAGCCGCGTGGGGACAAGCCCGGCACGGATGGCATGGTGGACTCAAATAGGGCTGAGGTTACATGAGAGGATGAGGGAAGGAAAGGACAAGAGCCTTGAAGACACGTGTCAAGGACAAATCTCTGAGACGAGCCATAAAAACACAGCACAGTGACAGCGATGACAAAAGGGGAGGGGAGAGGGCAGGCAGAAAAGCAGCAGACGGAACAGATTCCTGTTCTCATCGGGGCCTCTGATGGGGGGCAGTGCAGGGAACTCCCAGGGGCACAGGAGGTGGTGCCCAGTGGGACACTCGAGGGAAGATTCTGGAGGCAGAAGAGATCCAGAAGATGGCAGATCTGAGAATAAAAGTGGATTGTGCGGCCGGGCTGAGGTCAGGGGGGAAACGAGCAGGGAGTGAGGCAGGGGGGCAATGGAAAAACTGAGGCTTTGGTGGATTATCTACAAGTAGGATGCAGTCACGTGACAGGTGATGGGCGGAGAGGCAGAGAGAGGGACACACTTGTACGGGGGCCGCCTGTCGGTGTCTTCTGCAGCGAGGGGGCGGAGGGCGAGCGTGAGGGCTGAGCAGGGGTCAGCAAATGACCGCGATAAGGACAGAGGCAGTATATCTAGACGGCCCCGGCTCCGAGGGGGCTGGGAAGTTTCAGGGAAAGGGAAGAAGAACGGTCTGAGGGTAGCTACCAGGTTCCACTTTCCTTGCGGTATATGTAAGGAGGGCTGCTGTGGAAGCAGAACCCTTAGCTTCCCTTAGTGAGAGAGGATAAAAGGGAGCGTGAGAGAAAAGGTTGAGGATCTAGGCTTTCCTGATGAACACCTGCACAGTGGCAGGGAAGGAGGGGTCAGGGAGAGGGAAGAGAATGCAGTGGATTGGCGGGTGTACAGAGTCGCATGGGAGTAAGTTTCCGGGGTGTTGAGATGACACAGGAGGGCAAGGATGGGTGATGACACCAGATGGAAGGTTGGGGGGGGGGGTGGTGGATACGCAGTTCTTCACAGAATCCCCCTCAATGCAGTTAGCAGGGGTGCGGCAGGGAACGTGGGCAGTGTGGTCTAACCCGGTGCCCAGAGAGCCCTGAGGTCTCCCTGAAGCCCCCTGCTGTGGGCTGAAGACACCGTCTTCCCACTAGGTTTCTGAGTTCGGTGAATGCAGACACCTGTCGTATTCACCGCTGCATCCCCATGCTTAGTATCGTGTCTCAGGCCATGTTAATTTCTGCAGGATAAAGAAGGGGTGTGTGTGTGAGGGGGTGGTAAATATAAACTTGATAGCGGAAGTCACTGGAACTGGGTGGGCACAAGCAAGTCAGACACACCATCTATTGGCGACGTGGCCTCGGACAAGTCACTCTACCTCTCTCAGGCTCAGATTGAACCCGGGAGAAAGAAATACTGCCTGGCACGTAAGACTGCCAGGCAGATGGAATGAATGATGCCTGGAAACGATCAGGACAGCGCCTTCATCCTGGTCCTGGGGTAGAAAATGAAATCATGAAAATAAACAGGCTTTGAACAATGAAATGAAGCCAACGGGATTTAGTCCAAAAGCTTTTCAGGCTGTATTTGGGCAATAAAATGTCTTTTGTTTTTGTTTTTTTTTTTAAATTTTGCCTGCTTTCTAGTTTTAAACTTTAAGATAGCCAGACAGGGCAGATAATATTACACTTGAGGATTTCCAGGTCGAATATTTTTCCTCTCTCATGAACTTCAGTGAAGTGTCTACCTCAGTTTCCTTCCTTAGCTCTCATGTGCTTTGCAGACGTGTCCCAGAGTGAAAGTAGAGACACCCAGGAAAGGTAGCAATGCTCTTAGCCAGCCTGTTCATGTAGCGCTTTACAAATTAATAAACATAACGGTAACGCACTTGGAATTTTCAGGAAGAAAAGCGTATAGGGCTCAAAGTTGCAGCGGATATATAACTAAGATTCCCATATGTCATGATCGTTTTCTGAACGCCAAGAAAAGGAAACTTTATGAACTTGAAAACATCATAGATGTTCTACTCTCAAAGATGCACAAAATGACATTCTTATTGGGGTTCCCGAGCTTTTGAAGAGCGGTTAGATATATTCTCCACGGAGCAAACCTGTAATGGAAACCATCGCAAGGATAGCCCCACGCGTGTGACTTATTCAGGCCTCTCTTTGGCCTCACGTACTTGGGTTCATTCACATTCAAGGCTTTTCCATCTTCAGTGATCAAAACCCTGGGCAGTTTCACTTTCTTCTTCTTTCCACTTCAGATTGGAGGTGGATGGGAACAAGGGGAGAGAAAAATCAAGTAAAAGGAATATTTTTGTGACACAGTTTAAGAAAAATTGACCAGGCATTTTTGAATACATCAATAATTCACTGTTATGAAGTCCATTCTCTTACTTCTATGCTGGGAATTGACAAGCCAGATTTCTGTATGACCGCTATTTATATATTTAAGGCAAAAATGTGACCAAGACAATTTGGCAGATAATTCAAAAGGGGGAAAAACCCCACATTTCCGTGAAACATCCATGAATATTTAAATTAGTCTATTTTATGCATGATTTACCCACATAGCTGTCAATTCTCCATTTGTGGATACAGCCTCTGCTTTAGTTAAAATTATAAATTTTAGGGCCGCCTGGGTGGCTCAGTCAGTTGAGCATCTGACTCTTGATTTTGGCTCAGGTCATGATCTTGTGGTTCATGACATTGAGCCCCTTGCGGTTGTCAGCACAGAGCCTGCTTGGGATTCTCTCTTTCTCTCTCTCTCTCTCAAAACAAATAAATGAACCTCTAAAAAGTTATAATTTTTAAAATGCCAAGTAGATTCTACTCTATAGAAATAAAAATATCAGTACATGAGAACCTATGTAAATAAATGTCTATCACAGAATTATCCGTAGTGGCAAAACTCTGGAAGTATGATGAAAGCCCGTCAGGGGAGGAAGAGTCATTGGCCCAAATATGGTATATTCATGCTATGAAATATTTTGTGGTTGTTAAAAAAGCATGTCTGCTCTTCACCTTACTGGTCTAAAAAGTGATGGAAAGTGTTGATGGAGGAAAAGAAACAGTGCAGATAGGAAAGATTCGTGGGATAGCATGAAAAATGAAGACCGTGAGCTCTAGCTATTTAAACATCACTGAAGATATATAAGAACCTAAAAAAGGCATATGTGGACAGGTTCTACAAGACCAGATGGAGGAACGTGTTTAGATGATAGAATTGTAGGCAATTCTTTGCCTTGGATTTCCATTCTTTTAATACCGATGTTGTATAGTTAACTTTATTTTAAAATGTAAATTTATTCACATTTTTCTGCAGTTTAAATGGTCCAGTTAAGTTAATATGTGCATGCACTGCATTATTCTCCATGACCAAGACCATTCAGGCAAACATCCAAAAGAGGCAAACATCCTACTATCATACACTGCACGGAGTGACTGGGTCTTGTATCAAACTCAGATGTACTTGTTTTAGGCTCTCAGGGAGAGAATATTTTTTCCTGGTTTCAGGCTCAATACAATGTATTATACAAAATATTGTACTCCATATACGTTTCATGTATGTATATGCATATAAATACAATGCATATATGTGTGTGTGTGTGTATATGTCAGAAGTACAGTACATGTTATATAAAAACATGCAGAATTTCCATTGCAGAGGGTTCTTAAGCTTGCAGAGTGCTTTTACATTGATTGGCTCCTATGATGTTCTTTGTTAAGAGCAGAGTAGGGAAGGCAGAAATGAGAATTCGTGTTTAACAGATGAGGAAAGAATTGAGGAGAAGTTAGGTGTTTGCCAACATCACGCAGAGAGGAAGTGACAGAGTTACCCTGTGAGCCCACATTGTCTGATGCTATTCCAGTGCTCTTCCCAAAGCACTGGGGGGCCTCTCCGTATACAGACCACCAAATTTTACAAACAAGCATTCTGGAAAAAATTCAATTCTCCTTTTTGTGCCTCCCCATCTAGCTAATGAATAAAATTGTATGGAAGCAGCAGAGATGGCTAATGGTCGTTTTCACTCTTTTGGTTTCTTGCTCAGTGACAACCACAGGGAAAGACATTGCACTTCGCTCCTATAACTGCTGTGCAGAAGACGGTATTTCAGAGCTAAAGGATCACACCCCCAAGCACGTGAATTGCAAGTACTTCCGTAAGTGATACATTTCACATACTAGACTTGAGCAATGACATGAAATGGAATGACACGGAGCCTGCTTTTAAAAAGCTTCTCTGACAATAAGAGCTTAAGCATTCGAGCTTCTAACAAATCGTCAAGTTATATCTAAGCAATTCCAGAGGTGAAGGCATACTGCCGAATGTCCAGGAGAGTTGTACTGGGAACGTATAATGCCTGATGAGATTGATTTCTCATTTTGCAAACTATGAGACCCAAAGGAACTTACTTGTCCCACAAAGTGACCTTTGTCTTGGTGCCGTGATAATTAGTATCTTTAACCCGGGACGTTCCTACTACTTGATTCATTGAAAGTTGTTAACAAAGCAAAGACATCCAAACAAAACCCTATGTAAAATGCTGTAATTCATGACATCCTAAAGAAGGCAGTTTGATATTCACAGATGTCAGTAGACACAATTCAAGAGGAAGCTGAACTTAGAAGCGAACTCAGTTAAGTGATGGCTAACAAAGATTTAACATAGAGAAGGAGTAAAACCCCGTGTGATCGTGGAAACACAGTCCTTAGGAGGGCATTGCATCACTGTGGAATACCTTAATTTTTCTTGGTCTTTCCGTTGTTTTTCCATGTGCCTAAGTGTTTCCAATCTAGATTCAGGAGTGAACAAAGAAGGCTTGTTCCAGAATGCCAGGTCATCCTCGTTGTCCTTGAAGTTTTTTTGGTTGTATCCTCCTTCTTGCCCTTCCGGTGCCTGGACGTGACCCTCACTCTCTACTGAAAACGGGCTAGGAAAAAGCAAGTAGACACAGAGCATGTAAGACTGGTACTGGATATCTGCGTTTCATCCCGAAAGCTGCCACTTAAATCTCTCACACATTTGTCTTATGTCGTCTTCTTATCTTTGAGTGACAAAATGTGTCTGAAAGAGAGCCAGTGTAAGCCATGTGGGGCGAACGTGCTGACCCAGATGGGACAGGCCCTCACCTCGTCATCTAACACAGGGCATACTGCAGTGGTCCATGGAAGGGCCCCCAGGCCTGGCTGATGTGATGACCTGAGGAGCCTCATGAAGGGGCACAGACGCCTAGATTGCCACCAGAAAGTCTACTCAACAGATAGTGGGGCTGGGCCCAGGGATCTGTGTTTTATAATAGTTTGCAAGAGGTTCTGATGATCAGACAAACTCAAGGACCACTGGGCCTTCCCAATCACCCCACCTCCTGTCTGGGCCTCCACACTGCTCCCAGAGAAGTCCTTACAGCAGGCAAATGAGATCATTATTAGTTCCAGGTTCTGTAATGATGCTCTATCTCCAAAATTCTGCAGTGGGTTATATGGGATCTTTCATGGAATGGCCCTTTATGGATAAGTTCTGATTTCATAGCTTTCTGTGGGAACAGTGCTGTGTTCTCTGTTTTTATTCATGTTTTATGGGCTATCAGAGTCCAATCGTGTCTCTCTGTGACATTGAACGGGTATATGACATAGTCAACATTCACTCAATGTGGATTCAAGAAATATTTATTGAGCAACTTCTTTGTGCCCAGCACCAGACACCCAAGCCAAGGTAGGACAGGGCACGATAGTACTTTCTGGAGATCCTATTCTAGCAGAGCAAAAATGACACCATTCACATAGTAAGCACTGGGGAACAACGTTGCTCACCTCTCCCTGCAACCTACCCTCTATTTTGAAAAGTCATTACATGGGAAAATCCACATGAAGCCTTTAGTACCAAGCATCGCACACAGGAAGTGCTCACTGAACATTAGATTTTTGTTGTTACTGAAACGAGGTAACACAAAAGGCTCCTTTAGTTGACCTTCAGATAAGATACTTTTTGAAGGGATAGACTCAAAATACTAGAACATGAGGTATAAACAAGATAAATAGAACACAGAGTAAGATTTTGCTTACATTTTTTTACATATTACGAAAGGTAACTAGATAGTTTAATAAGCAAAATAATGCAAATTGCTGAAAATGAATACTTTGCCATATAGCTACAGTTCTCTATGGTGTTCAAAAGGCTATCTGTTAAGGGGATCTAAAATATTCTATCACAGTCTAAGTAATCATCACTGAAATCATTGGTTCCATTTTCAGTTAAAAGAATTTGGATTTTGGGGTGCCTGGGTGGCTCAGTTGGTTGAGTGTCTGACTTCAGTGCAGGTCATGATCTCGCAGTTCATGAGTCTGAGCCCTGCATCGGGCTCTGTGCTGACAGCTCAGAGCCTGGAGCCTGCTTTGATTTCTGTGCCTCCCCCTCTCTCTGCCCCTCTTCTGCTCACACTCTGTCTCTCTCTCTCTCAAAAATACACATTAAAAAAAAAAATTAAAAGAATTTGTTTTTTGCTGGAAAGTGACTAACTGGTTCACTTTTATATTTTGTAAAATGTAAAAAAAAAAATAAACATAAACATAATTGCAGTTAAGAAAAACCATAGAAATATTAGCTAAATAACCTAAGTGTCCAAAGGCAAAATGTATGGAAATGTACACAGCCGGTTGATGAAGCAGACTGATGTCATTAGGATACGAACAGGCAAAGTGCTCGTCATCCACTTCCTTCAAATTTGTGCGCTCAGAACTCTCACCCACTCGTGAGCACATCCCACAGCCCTGTGGCCCTTTCAGAAATGTCCCATCTCTGCCAACACTCATTTTCAGGTATTAGAGACCTACAATTTATTTTAGACAGAGAGGAAGCCAGTGGGGGAGAGAGGCAGAGAGAGAAAGAGATGGAGAGAGAGAATCCCAAGCAGAGCCTGGAAGCCTGCAGAGCCTGACCCCGAACTCCATCCCATGACCCCGGGATCGTGACCTGAGCTGAAATCAAAGGTCTGATGCTCAACTGACTGAGCCCCTCAAAGGCCTACAGTTTAAATAAAACTTCACTTACATCCAAAGTGAAGCCCTTGCCCTCCCTCTCCACACCCCTCTCCCTTCACCTAGCTCATGACTGTGCTGTGCATGGGGAGAGGGGCAGGGGCTATGCCTTCACTCACCTACTCCTTCCCTCTGTATCCCACCTCACTGGCTTCTTCAGGACCCCTGACTTCAGAAATCTGGGCCTGGGACAGTGGATGGAGAGAATGAGCAAACATCTCATCTGACACTGAAGCTCTTATATGTCGGCAGCTGGCTCCCTTTCTAGGGCGATGCCCAGTGACTGGCTTTGTCTTGTGAGCGCATTTACAGGTTCTCAGAGACATTACAGTAGGCTTCCAAGGACACCGTTCCCTGTCAGGGTGACCAACATACTACCCAGCTGGTCATTTGTGACAACTCATCTTCGGCCACTGACAGTCCACCCCAGTCTCTCACCACCGCTACTCGCTTGGACGTATCCTTTCTAAGACAGCCAAGTGCGGTTGCTGCTCCCGTGCGTACTTGGCCCATGCGCCCTTCACAAATCCTTGCATGACACATGCTTAGGGTGTAAGCTGATTCCATTAATGCCCATTCTCCTGATGCTCCTGCTCTGGGCTCTTCCAGGACACATCTCATCGTTTCAACGCTCCAGGCTGGAAGCAGGCTGCCTCTAGTCAAGGGGTGAGATGCTTGTGTCCCCTTCTCACAACCCCCCACATCTTTACGGCGTTTCTTCTTGCAGTGTTAAAAGGGGAGTGGCTCCCTACTCCTCTGTGACTAAGTCAATGACTCACTATTTTGATGACCTGCCCCCAGAATGTCTGGGTTTCTGTGTAAATAGGCTGAATGCAGTCACGGGAGAGATGGCTGATGGACCAGCCGGCCAGGCCTGTGGAGAAGTAACACGGCGAGAAACCCAGCCATACGCTTCTACTCGATGCAAGCAACAGATCGTTGTACGCATTTGTCACCGTGTATGAACCAAGAATAGGAGATGACCCCCCACGGTTTATGTGCCTATTATAGCTTTGATGCAAAACGCTGGGGGGAAATGCAATGAAAAAAGAATATTACAGTATAAACTCCCTTACGAACGTAGTTTTAAATATCAGAAGTAAAATACTAGAAAAATGAATGCAGAAATCTGTTACAAATATGTCGCGGGCAAGGTGAGTTTCTTCTGGAAATTCAAGGATGGCTTAATATTGGAAAATCTATTAGTGTGATCCAATACATCAATAGATAAACATGATTATCTCAATAGATGCCAAAAAAAGCATTTCATAAGACCTAGCATCTGCGATGATAAGAGCTCTTCATCAGCTTGGAATCAAAGGGAATTTATTCTACCACCAAAACCTTACTTACAGCAAATGCCTTACTTACTGATGAGAAAAAAGAAGTATTCTTTTTAAAGTCAGAACCAGATACAGATTCCCACTCTTACTGCTACCATACCCTACACTGGTGCCATAGCAGGCACCATAAAGAAAATTACAAAGCAGAGGCATAAAGATTGGAAATTTTTAAAAAGTTGCCATTTATACCAAAAAAAATGTGTTTTTCTTCATAGAAAAGAGGATCATCTACAGAGTAACTACGGAACCTTTTTAAAAAGGTCAGCAAGATTGTTTAATACAGTATCAGTATACAGAAATCATTTGCTTCTTTATCCATCGGCAAGAACCCATTATAAGAGGATTTTAAAAATCCCATTCTAAGAGATACTTAGAAATAAATCTAATAAAAGAAAACCTTTTTAGAGAAAATGATAAAACCTTATTGAAGGACTCAGAAGAAGGTCTAAATAAATAGAGAAAGCTATTCCACAGTTCAGCAAGGAAAGACTCAAAGTCATGAAGATGTCAACTTTTCCCTAATTAACATATAAATTGAATGCAATTTCAATCAAAATTACGCTAGGGATTTTTAGGGAATTTGAATAGCAGATTGTAAACTTCTAACAGAAAAGTAAAGAGCTAAGAATGGGCGGAGATAAATTTGAAAAATGGGAATACCTCCTACCAAATATTAAGATTTACCATAAATCTACAGATATTAAAACCGCGTGAAGGTGCATCCACGGGCTAGTCTAGGGAGCCCAGAAGTGGACACATGAGCGTGTGTGTAAAGGGTTCATGGTAAGGGTGGTGTTAGAGATCAGAAGAACAGCACCTTCATAATGGAGCAGACAATCAGCTACCCATATGGGAAATGACTGGCACCCTATCACCCACTGTAGTCAAAGGTTAATTCCACATAGATATGGCATGGGAGTAATGAAAAATTTCATTAAAGAAAACTTTCATAAATGAGACCAAAAAATAAAAAACAAACTTTACTATATTACTATTTTTTAATCCTATAAAGCAGAAACACTTACTAAAATTAAAGATAAGTCAAAGGCTGGAAAAAGATATTTGCAAAGCACATAACCATGAAGGAATCTGCATCTAGAATATGGAAGAACTTTAAGTCCATTAAAAAAAAAAAAACTTAACAACTTATTTAAAATAGGCAGAGGACCTGGAAAGAAGATATTTGAATAGCCAATAAAAATATAAGAAGACATTTAAGATACTGAAACTCACTAATAACTCTAGGAATGCAAATTAGGTAAAATATTAGATGTTATTTAACAAACAACTTGATTGGTCCATGTTTTAAAATATCATGTTATCGAATATCGGCAAAGATTAGGAACTCTCCTATACTGTTAATACAGAAGTATACATTAATGCATTTTAGAAACAATGGGGCAACGAATACAAAGTTGAAAATTGTTCCTAATTGATGACGTGGCAATATCACTGCTGAATGCCTTAGAGAAACTTCCATACCTTCACAAGGAGACATGAGCAACGCTGTCCGAAAGAAATGGAAGGAGGGAAACACCCCAAATGGCCACCCAATGAGGGAAGTCTGAACCTGGGCTGGTCTTCAGCTGGCACCCGCTGCGAGGGCCGTGCAGGTCATGAGAGCCGGGGCACATCCCGACTGGTCAAGGTCAATGAGTCACTAGCTATTAAATATTTTGAACATCACCTCTGGGATGATTGGTGATTTGTTTGTCCAGTGGAATGTCATTACACAGTTAGGATGAATGACCTAGCTCCACCTGTCTTTATAAGCAAAAACCTCAACAACATAACATTGAATGTAAAGTTGTAGAAAGATACCGTTTGTGCTAAACACACACACACACACACACACACACACACACAGCCATTCTTGCTCAAGGGAGGCAAAATCATATCACAAATATATTTAAAATATGGATGCAATCACATATACCAAACACACGCTTAACTTTCAGGATGTCAGACACACTGAAGAGGAAAGGGGAAGGGGATAGACTCCCAGTGATGTTTTATCTTTTTATGTTTTTTAAAAAGATCCAGAGCAAACATGCAAACCGTTGATATTTATTAAATCTGGGTGGAATTGTTGTGTCTATTGATGTTTAAAATATTTATGCATGTCTGAAATATCTTATAATTATTATTTTCTCAAGATTAAGAGATTCTGTTTTCAAACTATTAAAAGCTTTCACTATATGGAATCAAATCAACTAACTATGGCTGTAATTCAGTTAAATGAGGGTGAAAAATTCCGGCTTGTAAAAAAAAAGATCAATTTAGAGGCTTATTAATCACATTAAAATGTATTCATGATATAATTCATAAAACAGAATATTTTATGATGCAATCAAAATTATTTGATTTATAATATGCGATTTACATTTAACTTTTCTGAAATATCCCTGCTTTATAAATCAAAGTACACCTGTTAATTCATCTTTCCTGTGCATCTTATAGAGATTTGTCTGAGGGTAATTTCAGATGTAAATTAAATTTGGGAGTGAAGGAAAGCCTCAGAGAATTGCCACAAACAATGAGATGTTCATACCCTTCCCCCCAAATTCACATCACAATTTAATCTTCAAATCAGTCACCTGAAATATGATACTGTGAACACTTTGGGAAGAGAAAAGCCGTTTTTAACGAAAGTTGAGTAGAAAGTAAACCCTCATAATTTGCACACACAGTGACACTGAAATCTGCGCACCTCAGTCCCTCGAAGCCTGAGTGGCTTCTCTCCTTGGCCTCGTTTTCTTCCTCTTCTCGAAGTTTCCTCTGAGCCTCTTCCTTGTCTTGGGCCCGTTTGAGGCAGTAAGCTTCCTCCTGCTCTCTAACTTGTTGTTTAATTACTGGAAAGTTCTGCAAGGCCTGAATCCTTTCTGAACGCTCTATTTCTTTACCATCCAACCACTTGAATAAAAAACAACCAACATGGTGCCGTTATTCAAAAGTCGCAATTTGACTTTGGTTGGAATATTGTAAATTTAGAAAAAACAAATAACGCATCATAGTGATATGGAATTAAAATCAAAGTCATTAATGGGAAAGATCAGAAGCTTTGATCTAAATCAATGCTTATTTCATACAATTAACAGAGCTATAGCATATCTTTATGGGTAAAGTAATAAGTAGGTTGTCTGTTGAAACCAAATATTAGTGACAAGCTCTCAAAATACATTGATTTTATACCTGCTCACTATATAAAGAACATTAAGGCCTCAGGTCAGAACGGAGTTCCAAAGTGTAACAAGGTCACCTTGCAAATGCTCTCTACAAAAAAGGGGCCTTGTGTATTAGACAGAGTTGGGCTCTAATACAAATGGGCCCATTTTCTACCCTTGACAACAAACTGCACCCAGTATATTGCCCATTGTTATGGTCACTGTTTATACCTGTTATTTTTAAAGTAATTTTCCAAGCTGAAATACTAAAATAAAAACACCAATTAAAATGTGCAGTTTCAAAGCTACTAATTTAAAGATAACCTATTTATTTACCTAGCCCCATTCTACAAAAAGAGGTAAGGCATTTAGAAATGCGTGGTAGGCAGTATAATGGCCCCCCAAGAATGTTTGACTCCTAATCCTGTGAATGTTACCTACCATGGAAAAAGGGTCTTTGTAGATGTGATTAAGTGAAGGATTTTAAGATGGAGAGATCGTCCCGGGTTACCTGGATGGACCCGGCAGAACCATCAGCGTCCTCACAAGGGAAAGAAGGAGGCAGAAGTGTTAGGGTCTGGGGCACCTGGGTGGCTTAGCCGGTTAAGTGTCTGACTCTTGATTTGGTCTCAGGTCATGATCTCGCAGTTTGTGAGATAGAGCCCCCAAGTCAGGCTTCTTGCTGAGCATGGAGCCTGCTTGGGATTCTCTCGCTCTCTCCCTCTCCCCTGCTCACTCTCTAAAAATCATATAATCAACCCTCAGACCTTTAAGAGATATTAAAGAAGAAGGAGGAGGAGGAGGAGGAGGAGAGGGAGAGTCAAGGTCAAAGTCAGGGGTTGGCTTTGTGGATGGAGGGAGGGGCTACAAACTCAAAATGCAGGGAAAGGAATTCTGCCTGGAGGGGCGACCTGGGGTGGGGTGTGTGAATGAAGGAACAAAGAATGCAGCCTGGCCCACACCTGAACCTTAGACTTCTGACTCCAGTATTGCAGGAGCATAAATCTGTGTTGCTTTAAGCCACCACGTTTGTGGTAATTCACTATCACAGCAAAGGGAAACTAATGTAAAGGGAAAAACACACGAAGACTGGGTAAAATATAAATTTAAAAATTATCAGGATCAGTAGAATCATAAATCCAAATTACAATGTTGAGATTTGGAAAAAAGAATTTAAAATACATTTGGACACAAGGACTCACATGACTGAAGGCCAAGGAGCAACATGGGGCTCGGCTGGGCGGGCCCCTGCACCCCACCCTGGGATATGGCTCAGAGTGTTATGCTCCGGGATCTGTGTCGATGATATTCTGGTTCTCATCAGTTCATTTTGTTAGTACGTTATTGGATAATGAAGATCAGCTTGGGTTATGCTTGAGCTAATTTAGCATTTTATTCTAAATATACATTCTAGATTCAATTACCTGAGTCACTCATTCTCTTAATCAAAAAAAATTTCACATTGGAAGAAATGTGTTCCATGACTCCACAGTCTCGCCTATGCAGAACACGGCGGTCTAAACACAAACGGCCTCTGAGAATAGAGGAAAATGCCTGTCGTGAAGCCAGTGCAGAAGCATGGGGCCACACGCCGGTCACAGCCTCTCAGAATGGCATGAAAGTTAACATCACTAGTTGAATATACTCAGGCATATGATTTCTCTAGAAACCATCCGTTTTTCTCCCCCAGGTTCCAAAAATCCTGGGTTACGGAGATACAAGGTAAGATAGGAGCCACCTGGCGAGAGGCTCTCAGACGAGGTCCCTGGGCCAGCAGCATCAGTGCTGGCGGCTTGTTAGAAATGAAAAATCCTGGGAGCCACATCAGACCTACAAATCAGAAACTCCGGGGCAGGGCCCGGCAAACACCACTCAAGTATTCCAAAGCACAGCGACGTTTGAGAACCACTGACAGGGAATGTGTTAAGAGAAAGCAGTGATAAGAAGAAAATAAGTATAAAAGCACAGTAGCTTGAAACAGTAACACAAAGGTATATAGTTGTGGTCATCTCAAAGACTCTTAAGTTTTCAGTCTGCTGTCAGTAATGACAAACGCCCTCCCTGACTACACGTTAGTAGTTCAGGGGCGCCCGGGGCTCAGTGGGTTAAGCGGCTGACTCTTGGTTTCAACTCAGGTCAGGATCTCACAGTTCATGAGTTTGAGCCCTGCATCACTGACAGTATGGAGCCTGCTTGGGATTCTCTATCTCTTTCCCCCGTTCTCTCTGCCCCTCCCCAACTCGTGTGCACTCTGTCTCAAGATAAATATATAAACTTAAAAAAAAGAAAAAGAAACAGTTCAGGTAAGCTCTGCTGGGTTCTGAAAGGAGAAATGTATTTAATTTATTTTTCAGGAGTTTATTAAAGCTATTAAAACAACTTTAACGTTGTCCATAAGTCAAAGGATTCATTTTGATTTTCTGGAATCTTCCCTTCTCTAAAACTACACGTTCCCCGACAATGCTGTGAAGAAATCAGGCGTCACTGCAGTTGCCTGTTTTCCTTTCTCTGAGGTTTCTGCATCATTAAAATCAGCGTACCTTGTGGCGCCTGAGTGGCTCAGTCGGTTAGACTTCCGACTTCGGCTCAGGTCATGATCTCACGGTGTGTGGGTTCGAGCCCCATGTCAGGCTCTGTGCTGACGGCTTGGTACCAGGAGCCTGTTTCAGATTCTGTGTCTCCCTCTCTCCCTGCCCCTCCCCACTCACGAGCTGTCCGTCTCAAAAATAAATAAACATTAAAAAAATAATAAAATAAACTAAAATAAACATACCTTTAACTGTTGTAGAGTTGCCACCACGAACTGCCTGTAGCCGTCAAAGTCAGCACACGGGTTACCCATGAGAAAGAGCTCCTTCAGGTGGATATTGTGCTGAAGGGTTTTAACGCTGCTCAGCTCTCCAATGAAATTTACGGTCAAGTCGAGTTTTGTCAGCCTTTCACATCCTGTTGAAAGAAGTGAAGAGAAAACGATGCCAAAAAAAAAAAATTCACACTGGTAATAAACTGTGTGTATCAGCTCATAGCAGAGACCACGGCTGGGATATTTTAAGTCCACTGATTAACTGCATAACCCCTGGGGCGCCTGGGTGGCTCAGTTGGTTAAGCTCAGCTCAGGTCATGATCTCGCAGTTTGTGGGTTCGAACCCCGCGTTGGGCTCTGTGCTGACAGCTCGGAGCTTGGAGCCTGGAGCCTGCTTCGAATTCTGTGTCTCCCTCTCTCTCTGCCCCTCCCCTATTCATGTTCTGTGTCTCTCTGTCTCAATAATTAATAAACATAAAAATTTTTTTTAAAAAACCCTGCATAACCCAACAAGTGGGTTCTCAGAAATAGCAACTCAAAGGGTTAGCTCGAACTCGTTTCTCAATCTGCATTTCCCCTTAGTCCCTTCAGCCAGGGGAGATCACTTTTCCTGCTCACATCTGCGAGCCCTGGGCTGGTTAACGGGTGCCTTTGGGCACCCCATGGTGTGGAGAAAACCAAGTCCCGGCTGCTGCTGCGGTGCGCCCCACATCAGGACACAGCTCCCTGCAGAATGGACAGCAGCGATCTGTCCTGAGAATTCTGCCGGGTATGCAGGGTGCATCTTGCCAGGAGGGGTGAGGGAGGGAGGGTTCCCTGAAAGGCAGTTCATAAAACCCAGGCATCAGAATTAACGTTCACAAAGTCACACTGAAGAGACAGAATGGCTCCAAGGCCACCAAGAACTGCACTGAAGGTGTCAAGAAAAGCGAAGAAGGCTTTGGTCCCAGAAAAGCGGGGAGTCGCTGAAGCGGGGCTCGTAGTAAATCTGCCCCATCCACCTTCATTTGAGGGACAGCCGGATGCACAGAAATCTGAAGCAACAACCTTCACTCAAATTCCACGGGAACTTGGTAGTTAGGAATGCAGCCTGGAGAATAAGGCAGATAGAGTTCAGGTCCTAGCTCGGTCACACCCTTGCTGTGTGAAGCGGGATTAGTTACAAGCCTCAGCCACCGTATCCGCAGTATTATAATAGCATCAGTATCCATTTCAGTGATGCTGTGAAGACAATATGATTCCTGCGAAGTACTTAGCATAGTACTTGCCACTTAGCTTCAGTAAACGTTAGCGAGGATGAGAAGTAACCCAATGAGCACTCTTGGGATTATCCTGGACAGTGTGCCTGCGGGAGAAGAAGGATGTTTGCTCTCCTGTGAGCACAGTCTCTGCAGTTTCTCGCTGAGGACTTGGGAAGAGTTGACCTCATTCACACAGCAGCCTTTGTGGGCTGGGTTCAGCCGAAGGCGGTCTCCCCCGTGGCCGGATTGTTGTCATGCTGGTCGGATTGACATGGCAGATTCTGCGACCTTCAATACCCAGAGAGCCCTCTCCAGCTGAAGACCCAGCCCTACCTTGTTCTGCATTCATTTCTTCAAACATCCACAGGCTCTACCCCTCCCGTATGCTTCCCGGTTATATCCTGGAAGGTTATTGTTCTGTGGCTGTATAACTGAGGGTAAACTTTAGTTCCTAATATCTTGTAATAACCTCACCAGTGTAATCTTGATTCAGATTGGTTCACGGCTCTGCAACCGTGTCCACTTTCAGCAAGGTTCTCCTCGTCGCGGAAGGCCATACGATAGAACCAATTTTACTAAACGCCAGTGTTCTCTCTTCCTTACCCTTTCTTTTTTTTTTTTTTTTTAATTTATTTCTAGGAGAGAGAGAGAGAGACAGCGCGAGCAGGGGAGGGTCAGAGAGAGAAGAAGGCACAGAATCTGAAACAGGCTCCAGGCTCTGAGCTGTCAGCACAGAGCCCGACGCGGGGCTCGAACCCACAAACCGCGAGATCATGACCTAAGCGAAAGTCGGACGCTTAACCCACTAAGCCACCCAGGTGCCCCCTTCCTTATCCTTTCTTGATGCTAGCGCCTGGCTCCACCCTGTCCAGAATTCCATGTTTTCCTCCTATCTAGTCTATCTCAGACCAGACTCTTCCAAATGAGATAGTTCTAGCTCAGTGCTTCCAGAGGGATGTAGGACCTCACCCTCCATTCATTCATTCATCCATTCATCCATCCATTCATCCAGGAGTTACTGGGTACCTGCTAATACCAAGTTACTGAGCCAGGTCTTCAGGATAAAGTGGTTAAAAAAAATCCACGGTGTTTCACCTCAAGCGTATGTCTAATATGGAGAAAGGAGAAAAAGATGGGCATTCCAGGAAAAGAAGGTAGTTGGTGCAAAGGCACCAAGAAGTCTATCTGGAGAAATAGACAGAACCAGAAGTGGGCAATGCCCATTGTTACACTATAAACCAGCCTAAATCAATATGTACTGGTTCTTCTTTTTCAATTCCCATTCATTGTTCAGCCCATTGTTCCGGGCTTCCATCCCTAACATTCTACTAGGCTTGTTCATCTCAAGGGGACCAAGGAACTTCATGTTGACAAAATTAACAGACCCCCTCAATTCCTTATGTCACTGGAATAGTCTGCTGACATGGGATGATTAACCATGCATTCTCTCCTTTAAAAATTTTTTAAAGATTTCCTTTTTCTTTTTATCTTTATTTGTTTAAGTTTCTAATTCCAGTTAGTTAACATACAGTCCCATATTAGTTTCAGATGTGCAATGTAGTGATTGAACAATTCCATTTATCACCTGGTGCTCATCCCATCAAGTGCATCTCTTCATCGACCATGAATTCTCTTTGAATGTTTCATCTATCTGGGAAAGAGTGATGTGACTCTCTCCTTGTTCTCTTTTATAATGCAGTTGATTCCCCTTGACCCCCATTACAGACTTTTCCAGACCATCAATGGTAATACAGCCCGGATTTCCATTCTCGACCCAGTATTTTCTCTCCTCATGGTTCTCTTGATGACAACAGTTGTGTTCCTTGGTTTAACCAACCCCAAGTTCTGATGAGTCCCAATTAATGACTTTATATCTGACCATCCAACTGAAAGTCATACTCCTGTTTCCAAATGTCTGTAAGACATACTCCATTCAATATGTCCAAAAATGAATTCTCCATATTTTCTCTCACTCTCCACTCCTCAAGACAGCTTTCCTGCCTCCTTGATGTCTAAATCCTATTGATGTCACCGCCATTTTGGTATCAGATGTGAGTTTGTCTCCAAGAGTCAAGCCAGAGTTAACTTGAGTGATAAACTAAGTTGTTCCCTTGTCCCTCCATTTCATCAGTCACCAAGCCTACGTTTTACCGACTGTAATCCTTGGACCAACAGTCTAGTTCAGGTCCTCATCCTCATGTACATGCTACATGGCAGATTGCCTAAATCATCTTCCGGTTTCGAAAACAGGAAGGAAGGACAAAAAGAAGACAAGGGTGACATCTGACAGACTCCCAACAAGTTTAAATAAAATGTATATATTTTTGACTTTGTTAAAATTTTGTCCATGAAGGACCCTCCAAATGTTCATTATGTTTTTCAAAGTGATAAATCATAATCGTTTTTCTACTTGGCCTAACCCTAAGAAATTAAACCACACCCGCCATTCTGAGGAACAATTCTTGCTGAACTAGCCAGGCTCGAGCAAGTCTCTTCTTTGGAGTTGGGCACACTCCTTCCCTCAACTGGGTCCCACCCTACATCTCCTGTTCTTGGAAGATACACCTCAGTGGCCCATGGGGCTGAGAAGGCCATTGAAATCGACGATGTTGGTTTTCCAAGGGGGAAAGCTCACACTATTAGAAACCCCACCTCTCCTTCTAGGGTAAGGTAAGGAAGAGGGATGGAAAAAGAAGACAATTTATTATATCTCAGGAAATCCAAAACAGGGCGGGGACGTATGCTAGCCAACTCTTGCCATCCGGCAAAACATAAAAATAAACAAGCGGATATCCATCTTAGGCTTAAAATTATATTGTGATTTACTCAAGCAGGTGGGCTGGGTCTGTAGATCCATCTTGCTCCTCTCTTACCGCAAACCTTTAAAATGAAACAAAAAGTGCATATTTGCCAGCCAGCATGATGCCTCCTCCTTCCCTACCGCCCATCCCCCCAAGCATATCCTCAAACCGCTCTGCACCCACTGCCTCCCTCCTAGAGCTGGAAGGTGGCGCTCCCAAGGAAGAAGTGTCCCGGAAGCGGCAGTGAGTTCTGGACTGCAGTTCCCGAAGCTCAAAAAGACAATAGTGACGATGCTGCCCTCTAGTGGCGGATGTGCAACACATACTCTTCCACGTCCTTTAAGAGACTTTAACAAAAACAAGCCTTGGACAGGCCCACTGAGAGTGAGAGTTTTATGATTTCCCTGCCGTTACGGACTGCCATCTGACTACCACAAAACATGCATACAGGGCTCATTTTTTTTTATTCCACTTGTTCGCATGAGAACGTGGAATGGGGCTCTAGAGCGCCTGATGGCTCCATTTCTGATGCAGAAAAATGCCCGTGATGGAAGGAGTCTTCCCAGCTCCAGCACTGATGATGACTTTAGGGCCTTTGATAGCGATGACAGCTCAGGTTTTGGGGATGAAAAGTAAGAACGTATGATGAATACTTAGGTCCTTGTTGACATGTAACCTTGATAGTCACCGAAATACCCATTACTACACTGGGAGGCACACAGGCTAAAATCTACCATACCCTACGTTAAGTCCTCCTAACTTTAGCTATTGGCAGATGGGAGTGAGGTGCGGAGGGCGGGCTGCTCCTGCCAGGCGGCATGCTCCGTCCCCTCACACCCAGCCCGCGCTGGCCCTGCCAACCAGGCGAGATGCCGAGTGTGGAAACAGACCCTCACCCCTGCAGAAGAAGCCAGCACCGGCCACCTGATCCGCCGAAGCCTTTGTGATTATGAACAGATGCTAAGGGTTACCAGACATTAAAAAGTAAGTAAAAGCACAAAATAGAAGCCTGCAAAGGGAAACGAGAAACCTCCCAGAATGTAGAATAACAAGACAAAGGTTTAATTGAGGAATATAGGGTAAAAAGCATGGTGGATCAATCTAGGACAACCAAATCCATTTGAAAGAAGTTCTAGGGGAGGGGAGAGAAAAAAGAGGGAGTGGATGGGTCCATTACCTTGATTGTGCTGATGGTTCCACGGGTGTGTGCATATATCCAAACTCAACAAATTGTTCACTACACATGTGCAGGGTTTTGTATACCAATTAGACCTCAATAAAGCTATTAAAAAAAAAAAAAAGATGGTGCTCCAAAGAACACCATCAAGAAAGTTGACAAGAAAACCCCCAAAATGAAAAAATATATCTACAAATCACATATCTGACCAGATACTAGTATCCAAAATATATAAATAGGCCTTACAACACAACAATAAAATGACAAGTAGCCTAATTAGAAAGTGGGCAAAGGCTCTGAATAAACATTTCTCCAAATAAGATTCACAAGTGTCCAACCTCATCAGTCATCAGGTAAATGCCAAATCAGAACCATGATGAGATATGACTTCATATCCATCAGGATGGCTCCTACAAAATGAATAAAGAAATAAAAACAGAAAATAACCAGTGTTGGGAAGGATGTTGTGAAGTTGGAGCATTCAGAAATTCCTGGTGGGAATGTAAAATGGTGCAACTACTTTAGAAAATAGTTTGGCAGTTCCTTAAAAAGTTAAATGGAGAGTTACCACATGACCCAGCAATTCCCTGGGTATACTAAATTAATGAAAAACATTTGTTTATGGGGCACCTGGGTGGCTCAGTCGGTTAAGTGGCTGACTTCAGCTCAGGTCATGATCTCACGGCTCATGAGTTCGAGCCCCACATCAGGCTCTGTGCTGACAGCTCAAAGCCTGGAACCTGCTTTGGATTCTGTGTCTCCCTCTCTCTCTGCCCTTGCCCTGACCATACTCTGTCTCTCCCTCTCTCTCTCAAAAATAAAAATTAAAAATTGTTTTTAAAATAAAAAAAACATGTTTATGCAAAAGCTGATACGTTAATGTTCATAGCAACTTTATTTATAACCAAAATGTGGAAACGACTCAAATATCCATCAACTAATAAATGGGCGAACAAAATGCTGTGTACCCATACAATGGAACGTTACTCAGCCACAAAAATGAAGTACTGATACCTGCCACCATGTGGACAAATGCTGTGAACGTGCTGCAGACAAAAAGGACCACATACTGTACGAAACCGGTTACATTAAGTGCTCAGAACGGGAACATCTAGGAGGCAAACAGTAGATCAGGGGCCAGGGCACAGGGTGAATGAGGAAACCAGTGGATACAGGGTTTCATACGTGGAGATGGAACGTTCTGGAACTGGATAGTGATGCTGGGTGTACAACCTTGCAACTATATTAAAAACCACTGAATTGTATAATTTAAAAAGGTGAGTTTTATGGCATGTGAATTACATAGTGATTTGAAAAATAAAGGGTTCAAATATTTCAATTAAGAGACATTCTGAGAACAAAATACAATTTTCCACATTCGTCTTATTTTCTTTTATTTTTCATTGAGGTATAATCAACATATGGCATATTAGTTTCAGGCGTACAACACAGTGATTCGGTATTTGTCTGTATTGTGAAATGATCAGTCCAGTTAGCATCCATCACCTTACACAGCTACAGATTTTTCTTCTTTGTGATGAGAGCTTGTAAGATCTACTTTCTTAGAAATTTCCAAATATGCAGCACAGCATAATTAATTAATTAATTATTAATTTGAATTAATAACAGTCGCCTTACGGTGCATTACATGCTTATGATTTATTTATTTTATAGTATTCTAAATATAATTTATTGTCCAGTTAGTTAACACACAGCACATACAGTGCGCTCTTGGCTTCGGAAGTAGATTCCCATGATTCATCACTTACATACAACACCCGGTGCTCATCCCAACAAGTGCCCTCCTCTGTGCCCATTACCCATTTTCCCCTTCCCCCCGCCCCCATTAACCCTCAGTTTGTTCTCTGTATTTAAGAGTCTCTTATGGTTTGCCTCCTTCTCTCTTTGAAACTATTTTTCCCCTTCCCTTCCCCCATGGTCTTCTGTTAAGTTCCTCAAATTCCACATATGAGTGAAAACATACCATATCTGTCTTTCTGACTGACTTTCTTCTCGAGTGCACATGGAACATTCTCCAAGTTAGATCACATACTGGGTCACAAAACAGCCCTCAATAAATATAAAAGAATTGAGATCATATGATGCATATTTTCAGATCACAATGCTATGAAACTTGAAATCAACCATAAGAAAAAGTTTGGAAAGCCTCCAAATGCATTGCACAGGGGTTGAAGAACATTCCACTAAAGAATGTACAGATCAACCAGGCAATTAAAGAAGAAATTTAAAAATATACGGAAGTAAATGAAAATGAAAACATGACAGTCCAAACCCTTCGGGATGCAGCAAAGGCAGTCCTAAGAGGAAAATACACTGCAATCCAGGCCTATGTCAAGAAACAAGAAAAATCCCAAATACAGAACCTAACCTCACACTTAAAGCAACTAGCAGCAGAGCAGCAAAGGAAGCCCAAAGTCAGCAGAAGAGAAATGATAAAGATTAGAGCGGAATTAAACAACATAGAATCCAAAAAAACTGTAGAACAGATCAATGAATCTAAGAGCCGGTTTTTTGAAAGAATAAGCAAAACTGACAAACCCCAACCCAGACTTCTCGAAAAGAGAGATGACCCAAATAGATAAGATCAGGAATGAAAGAGGAAGGATCACAGTCAACACCACAGAAGCGCAAACAATTATAAGAGACTACTATTATATGCCGATAAACTGAACAACCTGGAAAAAATTGACAAATCCTAGACACCCACCCACTACCAAAACTCAAATGGGAAGAAATAGAAAATCTGAACAGACATAACCAGGGAACAAATTGAATCAGGTATCAAAAATCTCCCAACAAATAAGAGTCCTGGGCCAGACGGCTTCCCAGGGGGATTCTACCAGATGTTTAGAGCAGAGTTCATACCTCTTCTTCTCAGGCTGTTCCAGGAAACAGACACAAAAGGAAAGCTTCCGGACTCATTCTAAGAAGCCAGCATTACCTTGATTCCCAAACCAGACAGAGACCCGAAGAAAAAGGAGACTTATTTTATAGTTTTCAAGTTTGTACCTCTTGGCTCCCTTCATCTCTTTTGCCTGCCCTGCCCACTCCCGCCTCTGACAACCACCAAATCTTCCATTCTGTGTATCTCGGAGCTTGGTGTCTTGTTTTATTTTGTTGTGTTATTTTGATTTCACATGTAAGGGAGATCATACGGTATTTGTCTTTGTCTGACTTTTTTCACTTAGCATAATGGCTTCCAAGTCCATTCATGCTGTCATAAATGGCAAGATTCCATTCTCTTTTATGGCTAAATAATATTCCATTGTGTATACGTATATTCGTGTATATCACATTTCCTTTATCCAAAAAATATCCTTTTTTATGATAAATTTGAGATACACGAGAGATATTAAATGTAAAAACACAACCATTAAAACTAGAACTTAATGTAGAATGTACTTGTATTCAGAAACTATAAAGATAAAGATTGATAAAGTTGAGTATATTAAAATGCAATACTTGTGAATGATACTAGCATTATAAATGGAACAAGGGAAAAGTAGTAGACTCAAGAGAAAATATTCATAGCATACATAAACATTAATATCTAGAATGTAGAACATCACCTAAAAAAGATAAAGCAAAATAAAAATAACCAAAAAATATAAAGTAGTAGTAAGAAATACAAATACTATATAAAAAAATCTGAAGGTTATATGGATACTCAATAATAATAAGGGGGAAGCAAATAATTTAAAAAATTATTTGATAACAATGCCTTTAAAAAAAAAAAAAGATTGCTTGTTGGGGTGGCTCAGTAAGTTAAGTGTCCGACTCTTGGTTTGAGCTCAGGTCATGATCTCACAGTTTGTCAGTTCAAGAACCACATGGGGCTCTGAGCTGGAAACATAGAGCCTGCTTGGGATTTCTCTCTCCCTCTCTCTCTGTCCCTCCCCGGCTTGCTCTCTCTCTCTCTCTCTCTGCCCCTCCCCAGCTTGCTCTCTCTCTCTCTTAAAAAAAATAAACAAATATTTTAAAAGATTGTTTATAAAAATCATTAGTGAGTTTGAATAAAAATGGGTACTCACATGAACTGTCAGTACAAAAGTAAATTGATATGACTTTTTTGGGGAATAATTTGGTAATATTTTTCAAAATGTGTGTGTTTAAACCCAGGAATTCCATTCCTGTGTATTTGTCCTATAAACACAGGCACAGAGAGTGAAATGTAGAAGAATTCTAATTGTAGCCATGCCTATTATACAAAATGCTGGAAGCCACTCAAAGGTCCATCTGCAGAAAAATTGATTCTCTGCAGACAAATCAGTCTACAATCATTCTGGTAGGGAGCCCCCATGTTTCCTAGGTATGTAAGAACATGGTAATTTCATGGAAGAAATCAATTTTCAAAACAATACTCAGTAGTATGGTCCCATTGACCATTGACAACGAAACAAAACTACCTTTTATTCAACCAAGGGTAAATTTTTTCATAAATGTTTATTTATTGAGAGGGGGAGAGGGAGAGAATGGGTGGGGGAGGAGCAGAGAGAGAGAGAGAGAGAGAAAGAGAGAGGGAGAATCCAAAGCAACTTCCACACTCAGTGTGGAGCCCGATGCGGGGCTTGATCTCATGACCGTGAAATCATGATCCACCAAGGGTTAACTTTAACACCGCTACCCCTGAGAGGGAAGCTGCATTAGGAAAGCGTGAAGCGGACTTCCATTTTCAAATTCATATATCTCATTATTGCTTGAATTGTCACCAATAGTTAATAAACATAAGACTTAGGTAAAACATTAATTTGAAAAGTGTACCTATGGTTTAAGCAGTACTGTTTAAATCTCGATGCAGATCTGTTTTAATTCGTAACAAAATATAAGAAGAAAATTCTTACCTTCCAAATTTTCAATTTTCTCAATGTTGTTTAAAGCTAAGTTCAAATATTCAAGTTTCTTGAGTTTGCTAACATTTTCTGAAATATACAAATAATGTAATTAATTCACCTTCAATATAAAAGCTATTGTTACATAAGCTACCGTGAAATTGATAAAGGGAATCTAAGCATGATTGAGGTTATCGTAACTGTGTTGCTTTTTCGTGTCTGGACTTGGACATTAGACATTGGTGGTTGTCAAAAGCAACATCCATGTCTTCCTCCATTGCTCCTAATAGAACCCGGCTCTCCCCTTGTCTGTCCCCAGCCAGCCGAAACTCCAGAGTCCAGCCTCACCAAGCCGGGCCAGTGCACAGCGATGGCTTGCCCCTTGTTAATGACAGTTCTGGAATGAGGCTTTAGCCAACCAGCCCCGGGCAATCTCCCGGCAACTGTGTGATGCAGGAGACACCCAAATCAAGGTCTCCCAGTCGGATAAGAGGGAGAGATCTGTGTTCCAGGCTTGGGAACTGCCTTTTTCCCTCTCCCGTTGGCTGTTACTAGGGAAGAAAGTGATATCCTTATTGCCCCTCACAGCCCTCACGGCGGCAGGGTAGAGCCCGTACTTTGACTGGGGAGCTGAGAGAAGGACTCACCAAACCCTGGAGACAGGTGGGGAAGGTATGTGATTTCCTTACTGGGAAGCCACAATGAGGCTGGGGTCTCCTTCACTTGAAATCAAACTTACCCTGATACATAAGGGATTATTACTGTCTTTAAAAAAATACGAAAGCTCTTAGGGGCAAAAGGGTACGCGTAAGTCAGTCAGAGAATTTCTGTAGGATGGGGGCACTTAAAAATGCTAACAACACCAGGGCGCCTGGGTGGCTCAAGTTGTTAAGCGTCTGACTTCGGCTCAGGCCATGATCTTGCGGTTCATGAGTTCAAGCCCCATGTTGAGCCGTGCGTCAAGCTCTGCACTGAGAGCTTCAGATCCTCTGTCTCCCTCTGTCTCTCTGCCCCTCCCTCGCTTGTGCTCTCTCTCTCTCTCTCTCTCTCTCTCTCTCAAAAATAAATAAATATTTTTTAAAAACTGCTAATCATACCATAGCTAACATCACTGAGAGCTTACTATATGCCATGTAATTTTCTAAACATTTTGCATATATATATCATTTAATCCTCAACAACCGTATGAGGTAAAAACTACTATTGTCTCCCTTTAACAAATAGGAATACGAAGGTGCAGAGAATTAATTGCTAGTGCAAGGTTAAGTGGCAAAGCCAGGAGATCGACTCCTGAGTATAGCATGAAATCGTGACTGCACACCCAAAAAGAACGGTCCTTCCTAAGAGGACACAAATGTAGGAAACCCTATTGAGGACTGTGGATTTGGAAATTCCTCGCTCCAATAAGGCTCCTTCTGCCTGTTTTCCATGGAGATTTTCCACAGAGCCTGGGGGGCTCTGTGGGTCAGGCATCCAACCTCTGATTTAGGCTCAGGTCGTGATCTCATGGTCTGTGAGGCTGAGCCCTGAATCAGGCTCTGTGCTCTCAGCTCAGAATCCTGCTTGGGAGTCTCTCTCTCCCTCTCTCCGTCTGCCCCTCTCCCCTCAAAATAAATAAATAAAAATTAAAAAAAAAAAAACAGGTTAAATTGCTCAGGGGAAAAAAGGCTCTACAGATAATCAAGTACAGCAGCTCTGGGGCAGCGGGGAGTCGGCCAGACCGTGGTTCTAGCCCAACCCATCCTGGAAGCAGTTCTCACCCACCGTTATAACCAGACCCACAGGCCTGTGTGGAGCAAAGCCACACCCCACTGCAAACAGCTCTGCTCTGAACTATAGGCCTCAGGCTCCTGGGGGAGCTGTTACAAATGCAGATTTGGGGAGCCCACCCCCCAGGTTACTATCAGGAGGTCTGGGAGGGGGCCGGAGCCCCAATCAACAAGACCCGGGAGGTCCTGGGCTCACCCTCAGACCACCACTAAGCACTGCATCCCCCCCCCAGCCCATCTGGACCCCCCCGATGGGGAACAGGGCTTCAGGCGGGGCACCTCGATGGTGCGAGAGCCAGTCTGAGGCCCGAAAACGCTTCTGCCTGCTAAATACGTGCCTGAATGCCTCTGGGTGGAGCAGCACAGAAAAATCCCATTATTAGGACTGAAAAGAGTGTTTAATTTAAGAATACTTTGGAAGCAAAAACGTAAGCTTTCTCACAGCTCTGCAAAGGCCTGAAATACGATGCCACTAATTAGTGATTGTGATGGACCCAGCTGCGGGGATCAGAATTTCGGGAACTCTTTTAGTTCCGTACAATCAGGCCGGCCCCCCAGTGCCCCCCTGCACAAAAGCTCATGGTTTTCTCTAACAGCCTTTCTAACGGAACAGTGTGCCAGGGCTTCTAATTTCTGGTAGAGTGAAAGATGCCGAAAATAATTATCTGAAGAAGATCAGAATTTTAATAAATCTTCAAAAAATAATGCAAATTCGAGAATTTTTTTTTTTTGCAACCTGACGGCCAGTTTTCAATGACCCTCCAAACCAGGGGCAACACCATCAACCAGCGTTTCCCAGCCTCGGCAGGACTAGCACTGAGGGGCCGGGGGCTCTTTCTGGGGGGGCGGGCCGGCCCAGGCGCTACAGGATGGTAGGCGGCATCCCTGGCCCCTGTGCGTGACACTCAGTGGCAGTCCCCTCCCCACGCACACACCAAAGCTGTCCCCAGACCGCGCATCACCGGAGCAAGTCCAACCAACCTTACGGGGTGCCCTCAAGGCTTGGGCTCCTGAGCAGGGACCCTAAGTCCATCCCTTGTCTCCCAGCTCTGCCCCACCTCCACGTGGCTGGCCTGGGGGTGGGGGGATGAGAACAGTAACAGCGGTGGCAGCAGACAGCATCTGAGTGAGTGAGGGCAGTGCTAAATAAATGCCAGCATGCAGTCCCTGGTGTAGACATGGCAAAGCTAAGTTAACAGACTTACCTACTTTCACACAGGTTTTTGGTTTTAATATTCATTTTTGAGAGAGAGAGAGAGAAAGCATGAGCGGGGGAGGGACAGAGAGAAAGGGGGACAGAGGCTCTGAAGCAGGCTCTGTGCTGACAGCAGCAAGGCAGATGTGGGGCTTGAACTCATGAACCGTGAGATCCTGACCCAAGCCTCAGTCGGAAGCTCAACCGACTGAGCCGCCCAGGCGCCCCCTTCACACAGTTTTTAAGTGGCCGAGGCAGGGATCAAAGCCATCAGGGCCAGTGCCTCTTCTCGCCACTAAACTACAGGTTGCTCTTCGGAATGTGGGGCCACTCCTGTCTCCACGTGGCAGGGCCCCCTTGTCCCTGCCCCTTAACTCATTCTTCCCCAGGGAACCGTGGAGAGGGCCCCCCCATCTGATGGATGGACTGGGGGATGGGCATGCCCAGTCCCCTCTCTCCTGGCTCTGGGGCTCCCCTGGCAGCAGAAGGGATGTGCTCCTGTCCCCCTCCTGCCCACACAGGGGGCCCGCAGGCCTGTCGTTGCAGCCTGCACGTGACCTAGTGGACACATTCAACCTGCGGGCGGAAGCCCACTTGACTGCGAGTCTAAACCATCTTCTCCAGGAGGTTTTGTCCGTTACGAGGCTGATGTTCTGATCCGTCTACCTGTCACTTCATTCCTAACTGGAGCAGTAAACAGGGGTGTGGCATGGAGCCCTCTGGAGGAGCGACACGGAGCACAATGCCTCGCACATGCACATTCTCTGTCACCACGGCAGAACCAGCCACCGCGGGGGATCTGACAAGGGTTTACTCAAGTCCCACACGACCCTTTCTGTTCCACGGAGCGGTGTGAGACCAGGAGAAACGCCTGGATTCCATCTCCCTTCCTTTGAACTCGGACAAGACCAGGCTACAGATGGGCAGGTCAACAAACTTAAAGGAGCTCCCACCTTTACGTGCCACTCGGAACTCCTCCACGGTGGCCCCGGGGACCCTCGGGCCAGGGGACAGGGCAGCATGGGAGCTCAGAGAAAGGCCCAGGCCGGGCTCCTGAGAGCTGGCTGTGTCTGTTCCCATGGGGTTCTTTGTCACCCGTGTTGTCTTCTTCTAAGAATCACACTGCAACTTCCCCAGGGCTTCCCATTCAAAACGCCAAAGAAGCCATGAGCACGAAATCCTGAAAACTTACCAATTCTTCCAATGAGATTGTTTTGCAGATAGAGGATTTTTAAATCCCGGCACCATTTGTCAATATGTTCTAGTCTTTCGATTTCTTGCTGATGCAAGGAGAGTTCCTCCAGGGAAAAAATGAAGCAGTCATTGTGCTCGGAGTTCCGTCTAATTAGATCTTCTGTGACTGAAAGAAAATTTATTACGTGTTACGTCTCCGTCCCCATGTTCATCATCGGGTTATGACATTACAAAGGCACTGGATTTTCTTCCCAGTTAAATGTCAATCTTCCAGGCCCGAGTGATTTTTGAAGCACAGAGAGTGCTGCCTTGACTGGTGACACCATGGTGAGTCAGAGAGATTTTGTCTTTTTTGCACAAGGTCTACCTACGGTTTGCTGTAGGGATGGTGACAGAGTTGGTGAGTAATGACCAAGAGAGTGCTGATAAGGTGTATGTTGCTGTGACATCCTGTGGTGTTGTCATGTCAAACTGGATGCAACCCGCTAAGGAGACCAGGACAGGGCAACTTGTGACTGAGCGGGACAGTCTGGCTGCCGGGGGGCCAAAAACATGTACACACCTCCCGACATTCAGTAAGGAGAGGTCCGTGCGTTCAACATTGATTAATTGAACTAAAGTTGGAGGAGAGGAGGGCCCGAGAGTTTGTATCGCCATCTTGTAAAGTAGGTACCCTGTCGTCTGTTTCCAGAAGGAATGAAAGGAGCCACTCATGGTGAGAGTCCCTGAGCCTCTGACTAGCGTGCTATGCAGCATGGGGGCTGGCCTGCCACGGGGACACCGAGGGACTGGGGACGACGCCCTGGTCCACGGTTGGAGCCAAGAGCAAGGCGGGAATCCTCTTCCTGAAACACGCCCCAGTTAAAGACGTGATGACAGCGAAGAGCCCCTATGTTTTCTGGTGCTATTAAAAAGATCATTAATTCATTTTAATGGCCCCTTTTGAGGTGGACAGTGAAACAGTCCATGTCTAACCCACGAGACAATAAAGATTTAATTATTGCCACGTACAAGTGCTAGACACTGTCCTCAATGCCTTGCATGTGTTAGTGTATGAGTATGTAGAAGGGGCAGATGAGGAACTGAGGCACAAAGAGGTTAAACAACTTGCCCAAGGTCTTGGACCTCTACAGGCCCCTCTAGCCAAGGCAGAGCCCTTCACAGCGCCCTCGGCTGCCCTACGTCCAGCCACATCCTTAAAGGTGGACTTGCCTTTTTGTAGAAAACAACTGTGAAAACAGCTCTGAACGTGATCATTTGTGTCCAGGAAGCTGAACCCCGCTATTTCTGGTGGTGGGAGATGGGGCTGCTTGCAAAGACAGTTCTTCGGAAGTCAGGGGAAATGTGAGGGTCCGGAGACCAAATTACAGTGCCCAGGGAACGTCCCTGCTGTTCTACGCTTTGGCCCAAGTAGCAGGCAGAGATGGCCACCAGCCAGGTCCCGGGGAGAGGCAGGCCCAAATGGCAGGCAAGGGGGCGCACAGGGCATTCCCGCTGGTGTCCCTGGGGTCCCTACTGCCTGCTGCGGTCTGCTGTCTCCGGATGCCACGGCTAGTATGAAACGGAAAGCAGCTTTCTGAAAACTCAACCTCTGAGAAAAGGGCATTAAAGCGACTCTCCACACGTTCCACCGCCCAACTTGGCTCTGATAGCTTCAGTCAACTGACAATGAATAGACGGGGACAGCCAGGTTGAGGACGCAGCAGAGCTGTTGTGAAGTCAAATGTACTACCTGCCTCTGTAATTATCGGTAAGAACTGTCTTGGCAACGATGCAACAGGGATGAAGGGGTTGCGACGGCACAACGATGCTGTTTCAGCGAATTTAGCGAACCGTGGGAATTATTCACTACTACGGATAAGACTCTCAATGACCACTAGGGTATGTGTGACTTTACGCCAATCCATGGGGGAGGGGGCTGGGTTTTTGGAGGCCTTGGTGCCGTCAGACCTGGAGTCAAAGGGGCCAGGAGGACATGCCCATCCGGAGCCCAAGCCCTTCCCTCTAGAGCACGTCCCAGGTAGAGGAGCCATAGAATTCTGTGCCCAAGGGGCCCCATGCCTGCCTCCAAGCTCCACACTGGCCACTTGTCCGGGTTCATCCCAGAACACTCCATCAGGTATGCCTCGCTACACCCCAAAGTGTCCAAAGAGCACTGTTTTCTGAGATGGGGATGGATATGCAGGCTGGAGTATCCACCTTCATACATGGGCTCGAGGGCCCAGGGTAGGGCCAGGGATGGGAAGAGCAGGGAGGGATGGCCAGGGGCCAGCTCTCCCCAGCCACCACCCCCTCCCTGCCCCCACTCTGGCATAGATCCCAAGGAGTTTGAGAAATGTATTAAATGCAGCCTTCTGGGATGTTATAAAAGTATTCTTTTCGAGGGTGGCTGGCAGTTCGATTATCACTTGATACATGGGCCTCATTAGTCTTTCCCTGGGGCCCCAGGTGCCCCAGAAGGCTTAGTGGGGTACTCATACTGAAGATATAAACCCAACTTGAATCCCACGGAAGCTGTCATCTGTAAGTATGGTTAAGTCGAGTGCGTTCAGGGGAATTCCGAAAGCACCTTGTTAAGCATCACAGTTTCTGGCCTGGAAAAGCTACGTCAGGGTCTGCACGGCCCACCAGGGGCTTCCTGGGTCTCAGAAACACTAAAGGAATCACAAGCCTCTCCAGCTCTAGTCTTAAAGGCTTTTACAATTTGTCTGACCCTAAAGACTGGCAAGTTCCTCTACGGATACCCAATACCCTTCTTCTGTTCTCTTGCTCCACCTTTCTTGAAATTAGGAAACTCTTTTCATTATGCTATTATACGTGTGAATCTGAACACTTCCACGCAATTGCCAAGTCCTCCCTCTCAGAGGCATGTAGATATTAGGGAGGAATTATGTTGATATATCTCCTAACCACAACAATTAAGATGATAAAAAAAAAATCACTGTTAGTCAAAAGGGATGGGGGTGGAGGAGCCCCCCCCCCCCACTTAGCATAAAGAACTAGTTGGCATGCAGGGGCACACACAGAAGAGGGGGGACCAGCAGTTGATCCAGCACCCCAGGGAAGCCTGCCCAAAGGCAACGATTATACACAATTAGGGCAGATGAAAAGAAAATGGAGAATCACAGAGGACAGCAGTATCTCCCAGCGGCCCTTTTCTGAACTCTTCTATATTAAGCAAGCAGCCGCATGGCACGCTGTTTTATGGCACTCAGGAAATTACCGTTACACAATACTGCCCACCTGCAATGGCAAACATCAGCGAGGAAACCGGCGTCCCCAGGAAGAAATGTTTAAAGGTAATGGTGGATGGAGATGACAGCGTTCCACACTTTCCAACAGGAAAGCGTTTTGCTGTTTTATGCACTGTGATTTAGACCAAACATCTTGAAGTCCCGGGAGCGCTGTTCCCCTCTGGGAAGTCCTATGCCAGATAACACGGCACTACATTTACAAGGAGCCATTCCAGGGATGTGAAAATGTGTTGGAAGCCTTAGGATGTCATCATAAGGCTGTTTCAAGAGAGACGGCATTGGATGCCTACCACACGATGGAAGAGGAACGTTCCCAGGTAGTGGGTGAGAAACAGGGTGCCCTCACGTCCTTATTTTGGAAGAAATTCAAATAGTGAAATACGGGACTCAAATGGACTCTGAGAAGTGTGTCACCCACGGAGAGTGCTAACGGAGATACGGCTGGAATAGCACAGCCTGGTAAAACCACTGACAGCTTTAACCAGAGTCCTACGTTCTCTCACTAGCAGAAGGCTGCTAAGGAATCCGAGGGTTTAACCAAAACTCTCCGGAACCAAAACTCTCCAGAATTCTTTTCAATTCCTTACAATGACTGGGTTCTCCATGAACTCCAGGGAATGATAATAAAAATGACTTGGTGAGGTCAGGGTGGGGCAAAGGGCAGGAGGAGACGGTACTGGAATCCTGGAAGTTGTCATGCTGTGGTTGTTTCTACAGAGATTTTTTTCAGCGGATTGAGCAAAGTTCTACAAGCTCCCAAAGCCACCCATTTAGCGTTCATTCCTTCAGGCTTTATATCCTGTTTTGTGAATAGCCCTCTGTTTCCCACTAGATGAGAATAAAACCAATAATCTGTGTTCATAGCAGATTTTGCAGAACTTTTAAACATCTTGGGAGACGTAGCAGAGATTTAACAGAGACGAAGGGGTTACAAATCGAAGATAATCCCTTGTAGCATCTAAGCTTTGTTTTTTCTTCTATTGTTTTCAAAGGACACTTTTCAAAACAGGATTACTCATTTGCTCTGCCTTTTTTTTTTTTTTTTTTACTGACTCGGGGTCACCATAACAAACAACGTTAGTCATACAAGACCTAATCCAACAATACCACTAGGGTCTATGCACACAGAGAGTGCTCTTAAAGAACATAGCTGAAGTGCTATGGGGCAGAATTATACAGAGAGAACAGGGAGGACACAGAAAGGGGTGATCAGTGCTACTAAGTGACAGGAGGGACGTCAAAAGAGGCATCATGGAGAAGAAGCCTGAGCTGAGTCTTGAAATGTGAGTAGGCAGTTGCCAGATAAACCAATGAAGAAGGGCACTCCAGGCTACAATGGATGCTACATTGTGCTAACCAGCGCTGGAGTCCAGCTCCAGCCGGTCCAGAGGCCCTTGAAGGATGGAGGGTGTCAGCGAGAAAGAGTGAGAGAGCCCCGATTCTTTCTGATCACCAGGTGGGCATCTCTGTCCTGTGAGTTTTGGTGTCTTTATTAATAGGTCAAACAATAACATGGCATCAGAAAATGTAATTTTGGCAATGGATAGTTCTCTATGATAAGATGCTTTGGAAAATGTACAGAACCAGGTTTTACAGAAGTATTCTTGCAGAACCACCCCAATTACAGTGAGGTTGAGTGACTAAGGAAATAACAGGGTGTTCTTAGCGAAAAACAGGATAACATAACATTTTAATAACGCTAAGATTAAGTCATAGGTTTGTAGATACTCTTATCCATCCTCATCAGAGCTGCCAGGGTAAGGGAAGGGGTCTGTGGAATGTAGGCCGTTAGGGAAGGGACTGCTATACATCACCAGTTAGCAAAGGTATATGTAGCAACTTATGTTCTGCCCTTATCTGTTCCTTCTCTCTAAGTCAGGCTCTTTGTCTCCGGGCAAGACTTAATTGTCCA